TGATAATAAATTATTCTAATAACCAGAGCTGGGGCACACTGACAGAAGCATGGCTGCCAATCTGCGCCACCATCACTCACGCAGTCACCCACACACACACCACTTTCTTACGAGGCAATGTGGGTGCAGTGTCTTGCGTGCCACTGGCACCCCACTGTGACACCTGGAATTCCCAGCAGTCTCCCATCCAAGTACAAACCAGCCCTGCTTAGCTTCTGAGATCTGACAAGATCAGGCTTTGACAAAGCCGTTTGGCCACAGCACAATGAATGGTCTCTGCTTTTTCACTGCAATCTTTGTCCATTCATAAATGATGAACCAATCATAGCTGCCAGTGCTGGGCCCAGACCCCGCCCCCTTTTCAAAACCTCCTTGATTGTTCTTGGTCCAATTCTTTCTTTGTGTTTTTTTAAGCCTTGGGCATGGGAGGATAACATAGTAGCATTCAAATAAGTTATTCTTTTGAGTAAGCTTTTCTTCAACCACACATACTTTTTACACTTCAAAAACTCTTCCCAAATCAGCTCAAAGCACTATTTAAACACATTATCTTTTCTTTGAAACTCAGGATCAGCTCTTAAATCTTCTCTCAAACAATGGCTCATTTATCGTGCCTATATAACCAGACGCCAGAAATAATCAAGAAACAGAAGAAGAGTGGGCGTGAGGAATCTAAATTGTCATCTTGGCTTGTCTCTGAGTATCACGGCGTGTTATTGAGGATGTCCACATACATATGGCACTGTGGTCAGGAGGGACAGAACACATCTCTATGTTTGACTGACATCATGACACCAGTCCTGCTCTAATTGCTTTCCCGATGTGTAAATGTCAAGAGCTCTGCAAATACAAATGTGCACTTACACTAGCTCACTGAAGAGCAGCTGAAGGGGATAAAGAGAGATACAAGAGGTAAATGGAATCAACAAGTTTACTCAAGAATACCCAAATGATTGAAATAAATAATAAATAATGCAATAGTGCTGCAGAATATCTTTGCGACTAGCAATAATTTTGAAGACTGTTTTAAAGAGGACCTACTGTGCTTGTGTTTTTATAGCTATGATGTATGACACCTGCACATTTTAAATTGCAATATTCATCTAAAATAAAGATGAAGAAACAAAAGATAAAGAACCAAGTCCTCTGACTTCCATGTTGGAAAACTGCAGTACCCAATGTGAGCTGAGGTCAGCATAAATGTCATCACAACAAAGAGCCTTGAGGTTGTCAGCCCCTCCTATGGATATTTACACATCATGTTAGTGAGTAACATTTTTTTTTTTTTTTCATTTGTAGCAAAATTAGTCCAATAAAATTGGAGAATAACGCGAATACCAGTGAAAATGGGGTTGATAGGCAATATGGTGTCTTGAAAATAAGCGATGCAACATGCTCAAACATGCATTAATTACTCCAAATACCACTTTGGGTAAGTACATGGTGAGGGAAACACCTCTTAACATGGTTAAAAGCTCTAAAAAGTCAATTTTACATAACAAGTCTGCTTTAGGACAAAATTAGTTTAGCCTGATGAAAATTCAAGTATAAACATCATCTATAATATCTATATATACTTAAATACTTATATTAAATATACTTTCTAGACATGGGTCTGCCCATTAGCAGTGCTCTGAAAATGTTCCATAATATATCTAAAACCCATCTTGTATTTATTAAAGTTCCCCACTTGTCAAAATAAATGTACCTGTGACAAATATTATGCCAAAAGGAAAACATTGTCTGTAGTGAACATACTGAACAATTAGTCAATATAGTAATTATTATGACAGACTGTTTGTAGAAATCACTGACATTTGGGTGTTTTGTTTGTGTTGGATTTATTCTTGGAACTCACTCGCATTCACTGGCAATTCAAAAGTGGAAATCTTCACCTCCAACAGGCTCTTGTTGTCAAGTTCACAGGATAGCAGGCTTAAGTCTTGTTCAAGCTGTGCAGGATAACTAGCTCATATAGTGTGAGTGCATGTGTCTGTATTTGTGTGAAGAATGGAATAGCCCTCCTCTCTTTGCCTTAATAGCCATAGTCCACAAGAGTTGTTCATTCTTTCTCCATTTCCAACCATGAAATGAAAGTAACATTTTATCAAGCTTCGCCCGTGCAGTCGTGAAAATCGATACAGTGAGAGCTTGTACAGAAAAGGCAGTAAATCATAAAAATGTATTCTTCTAAATCGAAGCTGAGTCCCTCTTCAGTGGTGCTCTTCACGCTGCTAGCCGGTTTAGCATAAGGGCCTGTGAAAAAGCACTGGAAACTGCAAGGTCAGTGTGAGTATGAGGCTATGTTCATTCATCATGCAAATAGTCCTGCGCACTAATGTATTCTGGACATCTGCTGTATAGATAGTGCTGTTATAATTCCCTCATTAGAATCCACTATAAGTCTTTGATAGGTGGTTATGATACTTATAATGTTAATGTCATTTGTTCAGGTGGAGTTTCCGTGCAATGCAACGCACCCACACAATTTGTCAAAAGTCAGCTGTAAAGAATAAACATAGTAAAAGGTGGCATGCTCAATGCAAAAAGCCTATATAATGTAGCAACAATGAGGTGAGTAAATTTGAATTGTAAAGCTATTTACATATTTTTCAAAGTAAAAAAGTATGCATATAAAACCAGTTGACATAAGATTAGCATTTTTTTCATGTGCATCTACATCTTAAAGTGAATAACAAAAAATCAATTCTTCAGGAAAAAAAAAAAAGAAGAAATTTCATGGGCTGTGGGCAGTCAGGGTCAAATGTTTTATTTTTTCTCTTGTCACAATGCTTGTGTCCTATCTTGTATGAAATTGGTATGTAATGTAAAGGATAATTTTAATTATGAAATAGAAAAGCTAAACTTTTCTCATTTAAAGTAAACCTAACTGATGTACAATCCAATTGTAGTGTTTTAGTGATAAATGAAAATCCTTTAAAATTAATTTTCTGTTATTCATAAATAACAAAAATAGCATTACAAAGTCATAGTCACTCTACCATATCAATCTGATTTAATTTGAAAGAATGGTATTCACTAAAGTCAAACAAAGTGAATGTGTGTACGTTGGCTGGGGCTGGCTGTTTGATTGGCAGCTCCAAAGCTCTGGTGCTTCTTTCTGGCTCACTGCTCAAGTCACTCAGACAGCAGCTGTAGCCACGCCACATTTCCCCCAAAACAAGGGCTGCTGCTAACAGGGAATGCTTCTTTTAAGTACACACGTTTAGAGACATACTGCAACTGAGTCAATACTGTGACATTAACATGTCAAACTGTATTTATAACACTAAAATTTGAAAGGTCCTAAATAATAAGATTCCTGTAAGCTTTTAGCCATGTTAAAATGTGTTACCCCATTCAAAACATCCCTGAAGTCATGTTTTGTTCCATTCTCACATTTTGGAGTAACTCTTTATTATTATTAATCTATTTACATCTCCAAAGTTCAAAATACTTTGTTTCACCTTGTGATGTCATGAAGCGGTAGTTTTCACATTAAGAGCTACCTTTTACCTTTTGTTCAGCAAAGCATGGCATGGATTAAGTTATCCAAATGACTCTAGTCAAGGTGTATGGACTTTAAAAACACAGTGGAGCACTTTCTGTATTGTGATAGTGACATCTCAGTTTGAAACAGAGCGTTTTCTGTTTGAGAAAAAAACTCAGGATAAATATGCAGTGTTAAAATGTTTAAATGTGCGAATGAAACAAAACACAACTCCAGGTATTTGCGATGAGGAAACAAAATGAATGATTTAATTAATTACATAATATTCAATACTTGAACTACATCCTTGCCTGTTACAATTCACCTCATCAAATAGAGAATGACACACACTCTACACTTTCTACAAGTGCAATAAAAATAATAGGTAACACTTTATAATAACTACAGCTTATTTAGCCTTAATAAAGCATGAACAAAGACTGAATTCATAATGAACTAAGACTTAATTAATCATGAGTCACACTTAGTAACTACTTAATTACTACCTTAATTAGCACTTAACTTCCACTTAATTCGCCTGTGCTCTAAATAGTTACTCATAATTATTTCACACTTAATTACTCATGAACTCAGCATTTGTGTGTGCATTTGTAAATGTATACTTAAGTACAAATTTGAGCATTTATTGATGATTAGTAAGCTATGAGACAATGATTTACTAATAATGCAATGCAATGATAATTCAGGCAGCTATTATCTGTTAGTTAAGTCTTTTTGAGAGCTTTTCTAAAGTGAAGACTAATTATGCTTTATTAAGCATTTGTTAAGGTTGGTCAAATTCCAGAGAAACAATAATCACATTTTCAGATTATTTAGGAATGTGATAATGATTAACAAATGTCTAAGTAACACCATTAATTGATGATTAGTTCAACCAGTAGTTAATACTTTTTTGTAAACATTTCTAAAGTGAAGACTGTTTGGACTTAATTAAGGATTTGTTAAGGTACTATACGAGCCATTATCTAAGCCTGGAGTGTCTTGACTCATTTCCCCCTGAATTTAACTTCAGCAGCGGTGAGAATCAACACGACATAAAAAAATAAGCCAACAAACATGGATACAAAAATGTGTATTCAAATAATTTTCAGAACATTTACAAACACAGTGTCAGTATTCTGGTTTGTGAACTCTTTTTCTTTTAAAGGTTTCAAATAACTTAGTGAGTAAAAAAACAAATCTAGCCATCAACTAATTAAAAATAAAACAAAAAAACTATAACATAACAATAAAGTTTTAACGTCACATTTAAAAAGGTAAATGAATGAAATGAATACATTAAAACTGTTAAACACCTATCAAATAGGGTTTTTATTGTTTTTTTTGGAACCTTTTTAAATGGAACCTAAAAGCATTAAAGGCACATTTATAGTCATGTACCCGTACATCCCCCAGCCTGATGGAGGGTAAGCCCTTCTTTCGGTACCAGTGGTTGCCCCTATAGGCCAGTACAGTTATTTCAATGTCCTGTATTTTTGTACAGGCTTGTAGTGGAAACCATTGGTACTGAAAGAAGGGCTTATTCTGCATCAGACCGATTCTGGGCCATGTATGGGCAAGAGAATGTTACAGATTTTAATCCCAAATGTTTCAAATATTAATTTGAAAAAAAAAAAAAAAAAGATAAATAAACATCAAGAAACCACAATGATAACCACAAGGTTCTACAGATCACTTGAATTGTTTCCCTATATCATAGATCAACCTTCCTAATGGCCCATCAACATGTTTTCTGGCCAGCCATTCCATCCACTCAATTACAGCAATGTGCTCAGATAACAAATTATCTGTTCTATTCCCCCTCAGCCTCCAGACCTGCTCTTTGTAAGAGCGCCATGCCCTCTCAATATGTTGCGTATGGGCACCTGTGTTTGGAGCTACCCAACTCCTGCTGTGGTTAACTGTGTAATGGTGGTATCCCAACTGAGGCAAAATCCGATATGCTCGCCATTCGTCACTGATAACAGACGAGCCTACTCTCACATGCCGAGCAATGATGGGGACTAAATGCTTCCTTGATCTGCGTTCTACAAGCCGTAGAACTGGCTTCCTTTCACCATTATTTTGCACACCCAACATTCCAAATACCCATCTCTTCCTCTTCCATCCACCGGCCATTCTGCCCTTTCCGTACTGCAACAAAAAACAAATATTTAAAAGGATTATATTAGATTGTTAGATTACATGAACCATTGTCTTAAGCTTACCTTTCGTTTGTGTCGAAAATAGCTTTCATCTATTGCTACAAATTCTCTTCTTCCTCCAATCATCTGGCCAGTTTGTCTCCTCAGCTTTTGCATTGCTGTCCAACACACATCTCTTATTTTTTTGGCCATTCTTGTAAGTGTTGCTGAACTGGCAGGCACTGAGTCATCCATCATGTCTATTTGTCTTAGCCTTAATCCTTGACAAAATCTAAAAATACATACAAAAATATTGAAATTAACAAGCACATATTTGGCTAATTTGACTTGACTTGAACCATGTCATAAGTTATATTTTGGCTGATTCGTGCAAGTTTGTGTAATACTTTAAATTTTCCAGGTTTCGAGTTGAATGAACATAACACCTACACCTGTCCCTGTCCACCCTGTGCTTGTACCTGTTCTTAAAAAAAATAAAATAAAAAAAGTCTAGCTTTGGACCATAGGCTGAAAGCCAGTGGAGCCTATGTTTAGTATGCAAATATTTTTTGTAGAATTTGTTAAATAAACATAAAACACATGTATCACATCCAAACTATTGGTTTAATAAAAATGCAATTAAGTGTTTCATTTGAATTACAGAGTTCCTAATAAAACTTATAACTATGAATTTTTATCACAAATTAATTTGTCACGATTTCTAACGATATCTGTAAATATTAAATGCAATGTTTAAATATTTGTTTGTTTTCATGGAAATTTGCTAAATGTACCACCAATGTAAATAATTAATTCTTACATTTATAATTGTAAACAACATTGATTATTAATTGAAAAGGGCTTAATAACAGAAACAGGTCCAGGGAAAACATTAGACCTATGTAATCAGATAATTTAGCAAATTATATCTCCTTTTTGCCTCCCAGTTTTAGATCAATATTACATTATACAATAATGAAATTTTAAAATAAATGTGTCTATTAAATTAAGATCAACAATAGCCTATATTATTGTTTGCTGTCATCAAGTTTACCAACCTGAAAATGAAATGCATCCACTTCCTCAGTGATAATTTTGACCTTGAAAATAGATTTGTGTCTGATGGATAGCTGCTTTGGTCTCCCCAAATGCATAGCATGGTGACATATCCTATTAAGAAAGAACAAATATTAGAAACATGATAAATAAATGGTTGTCACCCAACTTTTTTGGCCAGTAAGCCAACATTAAAAAATGTATTTGTGCTCTTCCCGTGCGCCCTCGTAGCCAAATTAGCTTGCTTCTGTTGCCTACAGACTGAACTTTTTAAATCAATTTAAAGGATTTTTAACTAACGAAACAGACTTTTATGTATCTTGCATTCTGACATAATTAAACTTTAAATTGGCCCAATTAAATATGTAATATATTTCATTATAACATATAGACTAATTTCCAGAGCATCAATGTGTGGGTTTTTTCGGAAGGTTCAATGCGTGTCCTAAAAAGAAGCACAGGAGATGGAGAATCCGAGAGAACAGGCCACTTTATTTCAGCATTTCCATTGAGAGAGATTCAAGTTGATTACCAAGTACAACTGCCACCCCGGAACGACGTCTCTGACCAACTCAAAATCAGGGGTAGCTTTATACTACATCTTGACAAAACATTAACTTGTTGATTTAGCATATACAGCAAGAAAATGAACAATACTGCTGACCCAGTACACCTTATCATGGGTGGGAACATGCCACGGGGTCCACATATGTCAGTTTTTCTGCTTCGTGGCACTCAAAGTCCAGAAAAACATGTTCTTTATGGCACTCAAAGTACAGAAAAAACATGTTATATAGACCTATAGATAGTCATACGTGTTTTCCACCCTGTTGTCATTCCAAAGTCCATAATATTGGGTGAATTAGCATGACCAACACATAATATTTCCCACAAATGTTGATCCAAAAGTTTCGCTCTTGGGGTTACTTACTCTCCTCTCAGCGATGCCACACTGTCAAGTAACTAGGTGCGAGGAGGATTAAACCATTAAACAATAAAGTTACTAAACTTACCAGGCATAGCGATCTCCAGTGTTGGATTTTGCTTTCAGTGTCATATTCCGATGGCAGCTTCTGCATTTCATCTTACTTTTCAAAAGTTTTTTCCTTTGGAGCCACTGGATGAGTTTTAATGTCCTTCTTTTAGTCATCTCAAAATTAAAAAATCTCTTAAGGCAGGTGAATCGGCCCATTGTTGGATATACGGTATGAGAAAAATTGATTCCAGTCTGATTCCCTGATTCGAACCCACTTGATGGCGCAGTACGCAGTTGCGCATGCGTAACGAGGAATTCCCGCTCATTTTCCTCTTCTCTGACTCTAGTGTGACGTCTATTCGTCTCAAATTAATTCAATAAAATTTTGTATTTAATTTTTAGAGTTTTACCTTAATATAGGTAACATTAAGGTGCTATACGTAAAGAATATTTAGATTTTTATTTTTATATTTTTTTTAAGTGTGATTTTATAATGGAAAGAAACATTAGTGTTGATGACGTCATCAGCCGCAGACCCGCTTGCCCTTCACTTTGCGGGCTAGCTCAGTTGAGTAGCGCATGTTCAACGCATGGTCTAACGCAGAGTCCAACTTTCTGCTATACGTGTATGGTTAAACGTGAAAGAAATGGCTTGTTGCAAACGAAGGCTTAGAAGCACAACACTTAACAAAGAGATGGAGATCCAGGAAAATGACGCTTCCAGCGGTAAGTGTGTTTATAGTTTTCTTATGAACAGGGTCCAAAGTTAGCATACTTTTTCAGCTGTTAGATTCGAAAAAAAAATATATATATATTTTTTTTTCATTATTTGTCTCAAAAGCCAAAATGAAAATGTCATTAGCGGGCCACCAAGCTGGTCGCCAGGACTGACCCAGGTCCAAACTAGGTCCAAACTCCAGAACTGTGTTTTCCGCAGAAAATCGGTTAGTCCAGGCGGTGACCGGGGTGGGGTGGTGGCCGAGATACCGTGCCCGCACAGTGAGGACCGGGGTGGGGTGGGTGAGACTGGACTGAACCAGGTCTAAAACAGGACTAAATCAGCTCTAAAACCAAGATTAAACCAGGACCAAATCAGGATTTAACCAGGACTAAACCATGCCGCGTTTACCGCGTCTCCTCCCGTACGCATCGTCTTCGCGCGTACGCTGCGCGCACCGCGCCACCTCCTATACGCCGCCGGTCCGTGAAAATATTATCCCGAAAAGAGCGAAATATTGACATAAAACCGGTCCGTGGCGCAGAAAAGGTTGGGAACCACTGTGCTTATGACACAATGTACGCAGTCGTACACTCCACATTGGATATTAGGAGCAGGAGTTTGGTTCGGGAAAAGGGGAACGGCCGTTATCTTTTTTTTTTTTTTTTTTTTTTTTTTTTTTAAATGTAGAGTAATTAGCTTTATACTAATTTATTTATGTGTTTTAGGTGTTCCCATTGCCCCAACAGCATCATTAAGAAACCAAAGAAAATTGGAAGAAATTAAAATGTTAGAAATGAAACTGGAATTTCAAAATGAAAAAATGAAGGAGTTGAGGGAGGACAACAATTTTTTAAAAGAACAACTGGCAGCAGGTAATTTACTTTTACCTTTTCAAATGTTCATCATCATTCCACTATGTTTGCTTGTGCTGTTTTAGTGTTAAATATTAAATTAATTAAAATTAATATTAAAATTGGTTTCATGACCTGAGAATCATCTGCAAGTGTGGTAAATAATAATTTTGTTGACATTATTGTTACAGCTCTCAAGAAAACAGACCCTGGCCCCAGTAGCTACAGTCTGGTTTCAAGTGACACTTCTAACATAGAAAGAGACAGTGTAGAGGCAACATCATCCAATGATATATCACCCAATGATACATCATCTGATGAAAAAAAGAAAAACAAAAGGATAAAGAAGAGAAAAGACAGGACACTGGCACTGAAATATTGCCAGAGAGGTAAAATGTTACTTTAATATCTTGTTTGTTTATCATATATTTTATGTAATACCTAAGTTTGCGATTTTGACATTAAATATTTGTGGCAGTTCTCCACCATGCAACCTTCCCAACAACCACATCCACATGACTTTGGTGATTTTAAATTGAGGTTTAATTAAAACTTTATTGACCATTTTTACTATGCATACCAACATATTGAACTTCAGATAATCTATTCATAGTATAGTTAAACCTACTGTACCCTGTAAAATTTATTTGGCTTTATTTCACATTACACATTCTATTCTAATGGCAGGTATGTGCTATCTAATTATAATGTGTTTAAGCGTGTAAGCGAACAAGGAACTTGTGTGGTTCCCCACCATGTTTGCCCTAGCAGTTGTGAAACATGCTTTTAAAATTGTTCCAGTGAATAATTAGGGTGTTAGAATATGGGTAAATGAGCAATGAGTGTAGAACACTATTTAAAATATTTCATCTTTAGTCTTTTCATTTTCTTACTTATTTACAGCTCAAGGTCCAAAACGAAGTGGTGGCCAGGTACAAGAAAATTTTGAAGATCTTCAAGCAAAGTGGCACAATGAGTCAAGCCTTCAAAAAGTATGGGATGGACCGCAATACAGTTATAATTACAGCTCCAATTGCCGAATTGTACGTAGTTGCCCCAGAAAAATACAAAGAAATTATGCAGACTTGCAGTAAAGCTATGAAGCTGTCAGTGTTTGCAGCCCAATGTGCATTGGCTATTTCTGAAGATGCTGACATAGAGCAAAAGATCCAAACTCTAAAAGATTCATTGAAGCTAATTCCTTTTAAAACTAAATAAATAAATGTATGAATGCTTAAGAAATGTGAATTGTGTGAAGTTTTATAAATGTGCATTATGTTAAGGTCATCTGTAAAGTTCTCTTGCCCATACATGGCCCAGAATCGGTCTGATGCAGAATAAGCCCTTCTTTCGGAACCAATGGTTTCCACTACAAGCCTGTACAAAAATACAGGACATTGAAATAACTGTACTGGCCTATAGGGGCAACCACTGGTACCGAAAGAAGGGCTTACCCTCCATCAGGCTGGGGGATGTACGGGTACATGACTATAAATGTGCCTTTAATGCTTTTAGGTTCCATTTAAAAAGGTTCCAAAAAAAACAATAAAAACCCTATTTGATAGGTGTTTAACAGTTTTAATGTATTCATTTCATTCATTTACCTTTTTAAATGTGACGTTAAAACTTTATTGTTAAGTTATAGTTTTTTTGTTTTATTTTTAATTAGTTGATGGCTAGATTTGTTTTTTTACTCACAAAGTTATTTGAAACCTTTAAAAGAAAAAGAGTTCACAAACCAGAATACTGACACTGTGTTTGTAAATGTTCTGAAAATTATTTGAATACACATTTTTGTATCCATGTTTGTTGGCTTATTTTTTTATGTCGTGTTGATTCTCACCGCTGCTGAAGTTAAAATTCAGGGGGAAATGAGTCAAGACACTCCAGGCTTAGATAATGGCTCGTATAGTACCTTAACAAATCCTTAATTAAGTCCAAACAGTCTTCACTTTAGAAAAGTTTACAAAAAAGTATTAACTACTGGTTGAACTAATCATCAATTAATGGTGTTACTTAGACATTTGTTAATCATTATCACATTCCTAAATAATCTGAAAATGTGATTATTGTTTCTCTGGAATTTGACCAACCTTAACAAATGCTTAATAAAGCATAATTAGTCTTCACTTTAGAAAAGCTCTCAAAAAGACTTAACTAACAGATAATAGCTGCCTGAATTATCATTGCATTGCATTATTAGTAAATCATTGTCTCATAGCTTACTAATCATCAATAAATGCTCAAATTTGTACTTAAGTATACATTTACAAATGCACACACAAATGCTGAGTTCATGAGTAATTAAGTGTGAAATAATTATGAGTAACTATTTAGAGCACAGGCAAATTAAGTGGAAGTTAAGTGCTAATTAAGGTAGTAATTAAGTAGTTACTAAGAGTGACTCATGATTAATTAAGTCTTAGTTCATTATGAATTCAGTCTTTGTTCATGCTTTATTAAGGCTAAATAAGCTGTAGTTATTATAAAGTGTTACCAAATAAGAAAATACTGTAATGCAGTTTTACACTTCCTTTCAGTATAAACATATTGTACCATATTATATCTATTGATGCCATATTAGCATCCAGATTAAATGCACT